TTTTTTTTTTTTGTGGATGATATATTTTTGTAAACTTGTTTTTTTTAGAGAATTTTTAAAAGGGTGGTTTTTTATGGCAAATAAGGGGGGGAAAACGGGGGTGTGGTTTTTTCTTTATTTTTTTTTTTTTTTTTTTTTTTGGGGGGGGGGGGTGTTCTACCCGGTTCTCTAAGTCCTGACCCCATTTCAGACCAAAAAAATGTTATTTTCCATACCAGTTGTCAGTACATTCCCTTATGACAACACTCTCAATTTTATTACCCTGTGTAGGACAAAGATACACGGCGTCTTGTTTTAAAGCCATTTATTGGCCGGCAATTGCTGAATAGACTAAATTCACGATATAGTAATTGCTTTTGTATACTTGGGATACAAACAAATTTCTTCCTGTTTATATTTAGGAGAGACTCGCACAAAATCGTATACAATGTTTAGGACAAACTCGTGCAAAATTTTACACCCTGTTTAGGACAGAAAAGTCAAAAACCATACCCTGCCCAGCGGCACATCCCCGTACAGGCCATATAAGGAAGCACCCCCACTCTCCGGGCTTAAAGCCCTCTCCGATGAATGCAGTAAACAACAAATAGCCAGTTCATTTCTGTTAATGTGGGTCGGAGGTTTATTATACAGAAGTCAGTTTGATACTGTGTCTGTTAGTCTGTGGGCGGGTCCCATGAGTCAGTAGTGTTAGTTGCCGGCAAGACGTTCCAGGTTAATATATCTCTCTGGTCATGAGCTATTAATTAGCTGATCGTTTGCTGGCTGCATTTTTTAAGTCTGGATTTCTTTTTAATATGCCCCTATTCAACCTATTCAACAAAGTTGACAACAACCAAGCTCTTCCCGAGATAATACTCTTTTGTTTTCTTCTGCTTTAAATCATGAATGTAATAACCTACTTTTGGGTGCCCGCCGCACCATTAACAAAATGTAAGTCAGTTTTATAGCGGGGCGTTCTATCACCATTGTTTTCAGATATTGATCGATCTCTCAGTGCAGCTAAATAAATGCGTAAATTAAGCCAAACATGGGAAATAAAAAGCCTGCGGAGGAGTGAAAGATACTATACAACGGGACTGAGAAGTTTGTTGGGATAAATTCGGGATTACTTTGTTATATCAATAAAATTGAGAGTCAATGATTATAAAAGCAGTTGCAAAATAAGCTAAAAATCAGGGGCACCCAACGGCAATTTTCGCGAAAATATCTGTTCGGAAGACGATTTGAGATCTAGAATTTTCGGAGCATTTCTTGTAAAATTTCTTGCTTGCCTGCCTCTCCTAGGATTTTCGAACATCTACAAAATGGTATAATTACCCATTTTTGACGGGTTTTGACCCTAAAAAAGGCCACCTAGAATTTTCGGGAGCCTTTTCCTGGCTGAAATCTTCGATAAGGTAAGTTTTTATCCCTATAATTTTCGGGT